AGTTGCTAATCTGTCCTCTAGAGCCAGGATCCGCCGAATGCCCCCAAGCAACTCCTGAGTGACCCAAAAAGGTGTCCACTGCAGTGGGCCCCCAACTGTGCAGCTAACAGCCCTGTAGGCCCCAGGGGAAGCAGTGAGGAGGCCCCACCCGCCTCACCCACTGAAACAGTTCAGGCCATTCACAGGTACTTTCCTTGCTGCAACCCCTGCCAACCATCTGTCCAAAATCAGTGACTAATTCCCAGCAGGTCGAGCAGGGCGGGCCTCCTCAGAGCTCATCTGCCACAGTGCCTGGAAACCATCTAGCTACAGTGCCCACAAATGGAACACTGCTTAAGATCAGCCACAGCAGCCCACATCCTGCAAACAGAAGAGAATTACTGCCTTCGGCTTAAAACAATGGACCCCAGGAAGGCCATCAGCAGTTGAAAACTTTCGCATTGCTGAGGACCAAAGGGATAAGGGGAAAGTTCTGGAACTTTTGCTCACCAGCTGGGCTCAGGAACTCTGATACTAACGGACATGCTAAAGGGGGCACTGCACTCTCATGTCTCTGTTTCTAACACGGGCATTCTGCCTGGATTCTGAAGGACCTTAGGACTGCTTTATAAAGTGTTCAGAGATGCCTGGAGACTGAAATGAGCTCAGGGCCCCATGCCTCCCCAGCCTGCAGGGGCGCAGCAGCCCTGTAATTCGACTGCAGGCTAGATCACATCTCCTGCTGGCTGGTGGCTGAGGTGGCGGAGGCTTCGGCAGTGCCAAACACAAGTGACAGAAAGGCCTTGCCCTCCGGCTCGATCTGGGTTCCTATAGAGGCTCCAGGAAAATGTACTCACCTCACAAGGCTGCTGGGAGATGTAAGGAGATGGGCTTTTTGAAAGCGCCTTCCACGCAGCCCGGCTCAGAGCAGGCAGCCCTTGTAACGTGCCACCGGGACACGGCTGTGGACTCACTAGAGAGGGGCGTACACATCGCTCTAGTCACAGGCCACTGAACTCTTGACGTCCCAGGCTCAACCTTTATTCCTCTCAGAAGTACATGGAAACATGGATGAAAAATTATAATCTTCCTACCTGCAGCAGCAAGTCCTCGAACGCTGGTTTACCCTGCTCTCTTGACCCCCAGAACCACGCCCGCCCAAACGCAGAGAGGGCTAAATGGCGTGAGAGGCTGGCTGCCGGCTGATGTTTGAGGAGGCCGCAACTCTGGAGCGGCGGAGGCCTTGGGCTGGCACTGACTTCCCGGGTCTTGCGCAACCTGGAGGCCATGCGCCTTTTTATGTGTGGGCACATCCTGCCCATGTCCAGGTCGGAGGGTCGTGGAGATGCCCAGCCCCTGCTGGGTCTTTTTGCAGAGTAGGTGCTTTACACTGGATCGGTTTACTATTTCGGTGGGCTCTCTCCCATCCTCCTCCCCTCAGCCCTCCTGGTAACTAGGTTATCTTGATGACCAGACCAAAGTGAGTTACTGGCCTGGTAGAGACAGATAACAACAGTCAGGATGGCAGGCATGCAGCTTTCTCGGCGTCGGCATTCATAAAACAGTAACGCTGGAAAGGGGCCTTTGGGTCTTCTATAAAACTTCTGTTTGATAACATGGGAGGGAAATGGGTGCTTGGGAAAACAAGCGAGCCCTGAGGAGTATATCTGAGTAGGGACAGACAACTGGCCACAGCTCAAACCCCAGGAGAAATTCCACCTCAATTATTTTAGTGACCTCTGTCATGTCACAAACTTGCAGCAGCCTCAATATTCTCATCTGGAAAGTGGAAAAGTCAAACTACAGTACCCCAAACACACATGCATCCTGAACTAAAAAAAAAAAAAAATTAGAAAATGTTATCTAATTACAGAGAAGTCCAGATACCTGTTAGGATCTAGAGAAACCTTAGTAAGTTCTCACTGTTAACAGACACATTAAAACTACATACACAGTGATCAAGGACAAGAACAGAAAACCTCACTAAACCAATGGTTTCCTGGGAAAGGAATTTAATTTGAATTCCTGGAAATAAAAATTCAATCAGCAACACCATCTCAAGCCCATCGGGTTGGTAAAAATTAAAGTCTGGTAATTGCTAGTGGTGGTAAATGAGGAAGAGGAACCCTCAAGCCCTCTGGTAGCCCCTACTGATAACACGTCACTGGACAGCGCTCGATCAGTGTCTAGCAAAACGGAAAATGCACACACACCTTATGACCTAGCAATTGGTGGGGTTACTGTAGTGCTTCCGTGACTGGTGAAAAAGTAAAAGCTAACTGTCCCTTGGTGTATACTGTGCATTGGAAATGAACTAGATCTTCAGGTAGCAACATAAATAAGTCTCACAAACACTTGTGGAAAGGGATACACCGCAGCCCAAGTACCATTATTTTATTTTCCCCCCTAACTCGAGTATTATCAATTTTAATAACATTGTTCACAGATTGATACAAAGTATTAAAACCACCCCCCCCCCAAAAAAAAGGGTGCAGGAGAATTCTAAAGAAAAGAACAGACAGGAGCCAGAATGTCTCCCAAGAAGATCAGAGGCAGGTCCCAGAGGGTAATGGAGCCAACAGGCTGCAACCTGCCTCCTTCAAAGGGGAGCTGTGACCAAGAGGAAATGCGCTCACCTCGGAACCGACACAAGCCTGAGGCCTGGAGGCTGCAGGGGCTGTGGAAAAGGTTTGGGCATGAGGCTTGAGGTTAAAAATGAGATGGAGTGAAGTCTAAATATATAATGGCGTTTGGTTCCTAGGTCCCCTTCCCTATCCATACGAGGATGGAATAGAAACATTAATTAACAGCCATGAAAAGAGGATTTATCGCCCACACACCTTTTCTTAGGCAGCTTCAGGAATGTGTGCTGAGCTTAAACCAAGAGGTGACGCTATATTATATATGGGACCAGGCGCAGACACTGCTGCAGATCAAGTATAATCAACACATACTTGCGTGTGCCTCGCCTAGACTCCTCTCCGTGTCAACTCTCTCTACACGCCCGATTTCCATCCTTCTTGATCTGGAAAAATTTCCATTTCTTTAACATTGTCCTTATGTGAAACTATCTAAAAATAGGCAGCAGACATCACAGCCCTCCTTCCAAAAGACTTCAGTTCTTCCCTCCCTAGGACAGGGAAAGTCTACACAACCACAACTCATGACCACATTGAAGAAAACCACCCAGCAGATGCTCGAAGGCTCCTTTGGATGTGCTCTCCATGGCCTCTCAATCCAACTGCCAATAGCAATACAAAATCTCTTACCCCTGGGACGTGTGCAACTAACTTCTTACCCCAACTCCCAGATCCTCTAACTGGGGAGAAAAAGAACCAGTCTAGAAGAGGCCTCAGCTCAAGCTGCTGAATCAGCAGCACACCTGCGGCACATCCTAAAGCCCAAAGGCCTGACCACCCGACCAGTTCAGAAACGGTTGTCCTCACCCAAGAGCAGGGCAATTATTGGAGCCAGGGCTGGACTGGCCCTCAAAGTCCCCCAGATAAGGGATCTATACCTTTCCACTCCCCAGCTCTGGGACAGATGCCCAAAAAAGATTTGAGCAGAACCTTTCTCCAGGGCACCTTCAACCCTCCTTTGGGAAAGCTACTGCCTGGGGGGGGGATCGGGTGGAGCTCAGCCCCTTTTTCCATAAACTTCAAGGGCTCTGGGTCACCATCATCAGCGCCAACAGAAAACAATTCTCCATTACATTAAGAATGCTATGGAAGAAAAGCAGCCTTTACTAAAACAGACCACTTCTAAGCCACGTCACCTGTCACCTTATAGTTCTGAATCTATTACAAAGTCAACTGGGCGAATGTATCTCAGCTGTGTTTGCCTCTGGCGGAGGCACTTGAGGATTCGTTTTCTAAGGTAACAAAAGGAGCTCGGGCTTCCTTTGAACCCACGGGAGGTGAGGGACAGGGTAAGAGTCCTCCCTGCCCCAGCCTGTTGGCTTCCTCCAGCCTGGGGAAGAGGATGATCTAGGCCCACAAAGAAGGTAAATCCAATTCACATCTACCAGGACGGCCAGCTGCTACCCTCCGACTCCCTCTCCCAGGCCTCCAGAGTCACTAACTCAGGGAAGATGCCCCAGAGACTCTGCCCTGCTTTCTCCTCTCCCACACAACCCTGGGCCTGTGGAAGGCACCGCCTCCGCTCCACTGCGGTAGGGAGTGGCATCGTCCGTCCCCTCCGCCCCGGGCTCCCAGAAAGAGGGGGGCTGGAGCCCCCACGCCCTTTTCCTAGTCTCCCAACTTGCTTCCTGCTTAATTTCTCCTCCCATCGGTGGACTTAGCTCAACATGTGGCCTCCACCCGACTCCACCCAGTTCTAGGGTCCAGTTTTCCCGTTTCTATCTCGTGGGGTCCCTGGAATCGTGTGTGGTCGTGTGCAGAAAAGTTCCCCGAGCAAATCTTTTGGAATAAAAAAACAGCTGCACGGAGACACTATTTTATCAGCAATTTCCTGAGGAAACTGAGGCCCAGAAGCTCACAAGGGGCTGGGGAGCTAGATTCTAGCCGGAAAGTCTCCAGGATCCAGGCCAAACCCTTCCCCGAAAGCTCCTCCCCCGGACTCCCCCGCAAACTCCCCGGCTCCGCCGGAGCTGCTTCCCAGACTCGACCCTGGAGCCGGGCGGATCGTGGGGTCGGGCTGAGCCGACCCGGGGTCGCGAACACAGCCCTCGGGGACGGGCCGGCGGGTGCCTGCTTTCCGGCCGGGGTCCGGGGCGGGTGCCAGGCTGACCGCGTGGGATTGATTGTTTTTTTGTTGTTGTTGTTCTTGTTTTTTGCTTTTCTCCCCACACGGACTTCTAGAAGTGTGTGGGCTACCATCCCTGCCCGCCCAGCTGTGACAGCCCAAGGGTCCCCCCACTTCCCGCCGCCCCGGGGATGCCTCGGGACGGCGCCTGGGCCTCGCGGGGGTGCAGAGGAGCCCCGTCTCCCCGTCCCATCGCCAAGGTCACTTCCACCGCAGTGGCGCCGCGTTTCCACCGCCCCCCCACCGCCCGGACTCACCGACTCAGCAGCCGAAAGCCTGGGCCTGCAGCCAGCGAGCTGGGGTACCGGTGCCGAGCAGCCGCCGTAGCTTCCCGGAGCCGGCCCCCGCGCCTATTTACCGCGCCCGGCTCCGCCCTGCGCGCGCAGCTGACTCGCCACGTGACCGCTGCGAGCCCGGGGCCTGCTGGCCCGCCCCATCCCCCACCCCGGCCGGCGGCCCGCCCCCGCGCCCCGGGCCCCCCCGCGGACCCTGCGCCCGACTCGGCTCCGAGAGCTCCTACGCTGGGCTGACGGGACGCTCCTGGCGCCGCGCCAGGAAGAGGGGCTCCGAGCCTCGTCGGCCTCTACCCTTACGGATGGGGCCAGTGGGGAGCGGAGGGGAGATGCAGGTGGCCCTAAGGGCCGCTGTCCAGCCGGGAGAAATTCCCCAGGGGCCGCCGAAGCCTGAAAGCAGCCATTCAAAGCCTGATGGGTCCCTGCTTGGGGGAGGGAATAACGTCCTTTATTTCATTCTTTCAGAAAGCGCTGCCTGAGTTGTGGGTATAGTGAGAGTAGATCTCCCAGAAGAGCCTTAAAAGTCTCTTTTAGCATGGATATTCGGAGAACGTGCCTATAAAATAGGCCGGCTATATAATAATCAATGGGCATGAATTTCAGAACCTGAGGCAGGACGTCCACGGAAGAGAAGGATCTTAGGGGCAGAAATGTTTGGAAGAGGGGTGCCAGGAGACCTGTCCTAAAGGGGACCCTCACAGCAAGTACACTGTTTTACTTGGAGTTTATTCGGGGAGTGCCTAGGGAGGCTGATGTAGAAGGTGGGGTGTCTCAAGACCCACCCCCTCCATGAATCCCAGGGCTTCTAATCCTTTCCGACAACTTTGGTAGGTCGGTATAATCTCAGTTTTATTCCAGAGGCTCAGGGAAGTCCAGTTTATATCCAGGTGCTTCTGGTAAAAACGAAAACAAAAACAAAAAAACTCTAGGTCTGTAGTTCTTGTCCCCAAGAAGTCCTGGCTGATAGCTGCTGCGTCTTGGAGATGTCTGGCCATGAGCTGTTAGTCCCTGTGCCTGCCATGGCAGGTCAGAGAGAGCGATCTGGACACATACACTTCTACCTGTTTGGTCCCAATTAAAGATGGGAGTAGAGGTCTCAGAGTCCACTCACGGTTACTAAACCTTCAATTGAGTGGAATAGCTGAGGAGCTCCCAAGAGTGGGGAAGAAGGCTGGCCGCCAAGATGGCCCCAGCTGCAAGCTTCCTAGGTCATATCTTGAAAACCATGAAGGCTAGACTGCAAATCAGTGTTTTTGATGGGGTTTTGGAGTGATGGTGGGGTTCAGAGCTGACGGCCAAGAAAGAATTCTTGAAGACATCTTTGGTGTGAAAAAGGTGATTTTATTAACGCATGGGGACAGGACCCATGGGCAGAAAGAGCTGCGCTGGGGTTGTGAAGAGTGACTGGTTATATACTATGGAGTTGGGGGAGGTAAAGTCAAGAAGTTTCCAAAGAGATTTTCTTATGCTAAAGACTCACAGATTACTGGAGGCCTAGCTATTGTCTAGCTAAGGTTGTTCTTTCCTCTAGCAAAGCATTAACATCAAGACTGTGGGGAGTTCCTGGACCCTACACTATTGATAGGATTGCCTTTTTCTGGTAAACTGGTGGAGATATTTTTAGTTTAACCATTTGGGTTTTTTGTCCTTTCCTGTTTTGGGGTAGCCGGGACTGTCCAAGGAGTATCATACATGTCCCACCTGGGGGCAGGCCCCCCCCCATAATGGCCCTTATAAAAGGAAGCCATGGAAGACACACAGATAAACATGGTAAATCCTCATGGTAACAGGAGAGTGGGCAGTACTTTACATCGCCTCATTAAAAAAAACTTTTTTTTGTATGTTTTTATTTATTTCTGAGAGAGAGACAGCATGAGCAGGGGAGGGTCAGAGAGAGAGAGGGAGATACAGAATCTGCAACAGGCTCCAGGCTCTGAGCTGGGTGTCAGCATAGAGCCCAACGCAGGGCTCGAACCCACGCACCGTGAGATCATGACCTGAGCCAAAGTTGGACACTTAACCGACTGAGTCACCCAGGCACCCCAACATCACCTTATTTGTATGATGTTTTGAATGGGTGCCATTATAGAGATAGAAATCACTTTTGAAATAAAAAAGAGATAACCAAGCACCGCCAGAGTAGAATTGAACCCTCCCTACCACATCTGGGAATGCTTCACAGAGAAACGAACACCACATAACTTGTTTGTTCTCCTCGCTGCCCTCACTGGATCTTCACTCCAGGAGGACAAGGATGTTTGCCTGTAGTTAAAAAGAAAGACATGGGCCCACAGTGGAGTCATTTGCCCCAAGGACAGCAAACAGGACTTATCTGCAGGTCCCATCTCCCCAAGAGTGGAATTTTTTAAACTAATCTATCTGGAATTTCTGGTCAGCACCAATGAGGTAATCTGTCACACGGACCCTTTCGATGCCCTCTCCCCTCCAGGAAGATGACATTACCCACCTAATAAGGGCCCCTGCCCTCCGTCTAAGGGAAGGTTACCTTGCCTGGAACAGTCTTTTCTTTTGCTACTAAGCTTTTGCCCCAGACCCTTTCCTGTAAAAAACCTTCCATTTCTTTCTTTTTTTTTTTTTTTTACAAATAGTTTATTGTCAAATTAGTTTCCACATAACACCCAGTGCTCATCCCCACAAGTGCCCTCCTCCATGCCCATCCCTCCTCCCCCCCACATCCATCAGTCCTCAGTTTTTGTCAGCATTCAAGAGTCTCTCATGGTTTGCCTCTCTCCCTTTCCCCCACCATTTCCCCCCTTCTTCTCCCCCTTGTTCCTCTGTTAAGTTCCTCCTAGTCCTCCTATACGTGCACACATATGATATTTGTCCTTCTCTGCCTGACTTATTTCGCTCAGCAGAACACCCTCAAGGTCCATCCATGTTGCTACACATGGCCAGATTTCATTGTTTCTCATTGCCATGTAGTATTCCATGGTATAGATAAACCACATCTTCTTGATCCATTCATCTGTTGATGGACACTTAGGCTCTTTCCATGTTTTAGCTATTGTGGAGAGTGCTGCTATGAACATTGGGGTACATGTGCTCCTATGCATCAGCATTTCTGTATCCCTTGGGTAAATTCCTAGCAGTGCTATTGCTGGGTCCTCGGGGAGTTCTATTGTTAGTTTCCTGAGGAACCTCCACACTGTTTTCCAGAGGGGCTATACCAGTTTACATTCCCACCAACAGTGTAGGAGGGTTCCCGTTTCTCCACATCCTCGCCAGCATCTAGAGTTCTCTGACTGGCTCATTTTAGCCACTCTGACTGGTGTGAGGTGGTATCTCAGTGTGGTTTTGATTTGTATTTCCCTGATGAGGAGGGATGCTGAGCATCGTTTCATGTGTCTGTTGGCCATCTGGATGTCCTCTTTGGAGAAGTGTCTGTTCATATCTTCTGCCCATTTCTTCACTGGGTTGTTTGTTTTTCGGGCGTGTAGTAAAAACCTTCCATTTCACACAGCTCTTTGGAGCTCCCCTTACTTGCTGGATGGACAATGCTGGTCAATTCATAAATTGGTTATTAAAGCTAATTAGATCTTCACATTGGTTGAATTTTGGTGTTTAATGCTATGTTGTTTCTGTATCCCCAGGATGTAACAGAGTGCCTGGCACCCGGTACAGAATCAATACATATTTATTGAGTGGCTATTGGTGAATGAAGTGGGACTTGAAGATTCAGTAGAATTTTGACTTAATCTGCCAGGTTTGAGGTTAGAGGCTTAGGGAATACCCCTCAGAGCTTATAGAAGGACCTGGGCCTGCAGAGGCAAAAGCCATTCGCCTGCTGAGCCCCTGGAAAAGAAGCCTAGGTATATACTCAAAAGACTTGAAAACATATGTCTTCACAAAAGTTTGTGCTCAATGTTGATTGCAGCATTGTTTATGGAAAAGCCCAATGTCCGTCCACTGATGAACAAAATGTCATACACCCATACAATGGAATCGTTTTCATTCACAAAATATTCATTCACAAAATACTTGTGCATGCTACATCAATAAATTTTCAAAACATTTATGCTAAGTGAAAGAAACCAGTTAAAAGGCCACATATTTTTTAGTTCTATTTATATGAAATGTTCCGAATAGGCAACTCTATATGTAGAATAGAAAGATTAGTAATTGAGGCTGAAATAGGAGATTTGGGAAGTGAAAGATAAGATATAGGATTTCTTTTCAGGGTGATAAAAGTGTTCTAAAATTGTGATGACGGTTTTATATTTATACTTTCATTTATTATGTTTATATATTTACATATAATATTTATATTTTTAAAGTTTATTTAAAAAAAAAAAAAGAAAGAAAGAGAGAAAGAAAGAGAGAGAGAGAGAGAGACAGAATCCCAAGCAGGCTCCACACTGACAGTGTGGAGCCCCAATATGGGGCTCAAGCTCAAAAACCATGAAATCATGCCCTGAGCTAAAGTCAGAAGCTTAACCAACTGAGCCATCCAGGCGCCCTCCCCCTTTTAAAAATGTTTTCATTTATTTATTTTGAAGGTAGGGAGGGACAGAGAGAAAAGGAGAGGGAATCCCAAACAGGGTCCGTGTTGTCAGCGCAGAGCCTGACATGAGGGCTCTATCTCACAAACCGTGAGATCATGACCTGAGCTGAAATCAAGAGTTGGATGCTTTAGGGCACATGTACCCCAATGTTTATAGCAAGATTTTCAACAATAGCCAAATTATGGAAAGAGCCTAAATGCCCATCAACTGATGAATGGGTAAAGAAGATGTGGTTTATATATACAATGGAATACTACTTGGAAATGAGAAAGAATGAAATCTGGGCATTTGCAGCAATGTGGATGGAACTGGAAGATATTATGCCAAGTGAAATAAGTCAGTCAGAGAAGGACAGATGCCCTATGTTTTCACTCATATGTGGATCTTGAGAAGCTTAACAGAAGTCCATGGGGGAAGGGAAGGGGAAAAAATAGTTACAAACAGAAAGAGTGGGAGGCAAACCATAAGAGACTCTTAAATACAGAGAACAAACTGAGGGTTGATGGAGACACGTGGGGGAGAGGGGAAAATGGGTGATGGGCA